CACGGACACGGGCCTGTCCCACACGGACAGACACACGGACACGGGCCGGTCCCACACGGACGGACACACGGACACGGGCCTGTCCCACACCGACAGACACACGGACACGGGCCGGTCCCAGACGGACAGGGACACAAAGAGACAGGGGCTGATCTCAGACAGACAGACAGCGCCCGCTCCAGTGACACCCCCAGACCTCTCGTCAGGGCTTTATTGACACGCGGGCTCCCCCCAGCAATGACCGCCCGCACGTTCATTCGCAGGGGGTTTGTCACCCCGCGACCCCTTATTTAAAAAGAAAGGGTCATAATATTCTTAAGAGGTAGGTGAAGAGTCTGGTACTTACATTTTTTTATATTAAAGGGGCAAAAGAAAATAAGTCACATCGGTGAAGAATGGCAGCAGCCAAATCGTGCCAGCTCTGTTATCCGTGATTCACAAGCTGTGCTCTATGATTACGCAGCTCCGCTGTGTTAAATGCTGCTCATTTCCCATATCACACATACTAGAGTTTACAGATACTAACTGACAATGTAATCCTGCTCTGGTAACCCTTTATCTACCATTCAACCATTAGAGCACCCCACTGCTCAGCCCTGTCTTGTTAACGATGACTAAGAAACGCTGCAGAACTGCAGGAATGTGAGCATCTGTCCTCCATGAATTCTTATTTATAATTATTAACCTGGAATTCCATGTCATAAGTATTAACTATCAGCTGTGCAAGCTGAGCAAGGAGCATGGTAAGAGAAGACTTGACTTTTGGAAAACACTCCAGCAGCAGCTTCTCAGATTTTTATTTTTTTTTTTTAGTATTGAAAATAAGTCCATTAATTTTAAATCAGAGTAATCTGGGCAGTCCAGATTGCAAAACTGAAAAAAGATCTAGTTGAGCAAAGAATGGTTTTAATGTCAGTGATCTCAGTCATGCTTGAAGGGAATCAGGAAAAACCAACATAACTGCACCCTCTTCTCTTCATAAATGCCCTTTTTTCCTGTTAGCTCAATATGGGGAATGAGACATGATAAAGGGAACAGTGCAGTTCAGCTTAGAATTTTGAAGCTAAGAAAGCTGCAGCACAGGTCTTTCAGAATACAAACATTTAAATATTTGTTATATTTCAGAATGCTACTCTGACTAAAACCAGGTGTCTTTAAAAAGTATTAATGAATTAAAGCATTTATTTCAAGCATCTCCAACAACCAGCCAATGAAACAAGTCCTAGAGAATGACCTGCATTCACAAGGACTGAGTAAAAATTTTCACTGAGAGCTTTGTAAGACTTTGCAGTTACAAAAGGCACACCAGCTGTTATCCCTCTCCTCTGTTCCTCACATGAGGCTTTTCTGAGGGAGACTGGAATGACTGGAATGACTTGAGAATTAGTCATCTCCAAAAACAACAGCTTTTGAGAAGACATGAATTTAAACCATTTTTCTAGACAGTAAGTATAGTATAAATCCGTAGGATACACCAACAAAAATTTGACACTGAAAGAAATGCACTTTTCACCAAGAAACTTTGTGACAGATTGAGTTTAGAAAGTGCCCACTCCCAGTGTATCTCCATTATTTTCAGTTCAGCACAGATGTTTCAGTAGATGCCACCAGTGAAGCTGACAGGAGCAGGCACCAATGCCACCTGCTCCTCCCTGTGACACTTCGAGGTCATGTCATTAGATTGACCTGTAATCTCATCTTGAAGTGACACCAATGACCTGCTGGAAGGTTTGAGGGTGTCATTAGAGCACTTCAGTGTGTGATGCAAGAAATCTGCTAACAAAGACAGGCTCTGCCCTAGTCACGTGCAGTCAGAGGGTAACTGTCAGTACACAGCTCCTCACAGCAGTCAGTGCTGTTCCTCACTGAAAATAAAGGAAACATATGATAAACTGCATTGTTATGAACACGGTTACATGTTACTCCAACTAGTTCCATGCTTTTTGGAATAAAAATTCTCCATTTCAACATCCCAGAAGCTCAAAGACTCCAACCTGCTGCAGCACTAAATCCTTACAGATCCCTTTCCATTCCTTTCCAACATAACGTGGCTCTGCCATCCTACACAGAACGTCAAGAACATTCAATCCAGAGTCTACTCACATCAGTTTTTAATGACACTTTCTCCAAAATCCCTTTGCCACTTCTGAAGACTTACCCTGTTGCAGGAATCATTTTACTTAATGTCACATCCATGGAGAGTCCACTGGCCCAAACCTTCTCTCAGTTGTCCACAGCAGTAACAGGAGACAGGCAATGACTTATTGCTGTGCATTTATATATAAACTAACAAGACCTCCAAGACAAAGGGAAATTAGTGACTCATGAAATTACCTTTTCTTAACAGTGCTCACTGAATTCTAGCAACATGAGTATTCCTTTTAGAAGGAAGTGTCACTGAAAGGTGAATTCCCTACAATACTGTATCTTATCACAAAGTTTATTCAAGTTTTGAAATAATTTTTATTAAAGTACGACATTCTGAGTTTTCATGTTTTTAATTATTAAAATATATTACATTATATTATAGATTTCAAAAAAAGATAAGTTTGACAAAACATTACTCATAACTTTGGGACCACTTTGTTTTTTGTAAACATCCACCTCACCATTCAATGATGAGCTGCAAGAAGTCAGAGGGGGATAATTCTTTAGCACACCTCTTTCTCAGGCTGCATATCTTTAGGGACAGAAGAGCTGTTGTGCTCACAACAACTTCACTAGAGAAATAAACCATTTGGGAAGCACATACACGTCTCCAAAAGAAATCAGACTCCTGCAGCATGAAACTGTGGACTCACTTGGCCAGCAGGAAACACAACAACAATCCCATCATTTGGTAAATATGGCACATAGAGAGCACTGGCTTCTCCACACTGCACTATACACAGAGAGAGGAACAGGGCAGAGAGAACTACAACCCCTCCACTGAGAATAAACCTTTCCTCAATTAGGAAAAAATGGAAATGAGATCATCAGAATGCTTACTGTTTAGCTTAGGATGCATGGAAACCCGGTAAAAATCAGGTCTGCGTGTACATACACACCACACTGTCAAAGGATCAGAAGGCTGCAAGTGCCCAGTTTACTGACTAAACTTGACATTAATCTGGGCCAACATGGAAACTGAGGCAGGAGATAAGGCAGCCCAAAAGAAACTGTTAGCATTTGTGCTCTGCCCTCAGAGCAAGAGCCAAACCTGATGGAATGTATGCAAGGCACCTTGACATTGGTATTGCCTCTTATACAAGTACACCCTGTTTCTTAATCTCTTTGAAACTACTGTAACAAAAGAACTTCGATCTCGAGAGGAACATCTTCAAACTGCAGACTTAACCTTCCAGAGACATGGGCAAGCTGCCCTCACCTGACATCAGTGTGCTCCCAGAGTCTGTACAGGTATCACTAGAGACAGCAGATTGTTAATTGCAAAATCTTGACCCCAGAACTCTTTCTCAGTTGCTGTTTAGCAGTGTCAGGCAGTAATTTGGTTGAACACAACCAGATTTTTTTCTAATAACATAACTGAGTAACACTAACTTAAAATATAATTGAGAAGTGATATTTTTTGGCAAAGACAAAATTGTGAGCACAATCAACATCAAAAGCAAAGATTTAATATATTTGCTAGAACATTATATTGCTCAACTCCTGAATGAATTTATTTGCATGCACCTGTCCTTACAGGGAAATTGCAATGTTTATCAGAAGATGTTACAAACTTCTTCAACATATTCCCCGCTGCATTATGATTGCCTCGATAAACGTATAAACAGTAGTGATGTGTCCAAGAACACCTCTTACAGACACAGGTTTACCACCCTTGTGGAGAGCAGAAAAAACCCCAACCTTTAAATTACTTTTGTAAAAGTAAAGCACTGCTGTATCACGTGCCAAACTTAAGAGCATTAGAAACAGATGTTTCATCTCCAGGGATGACACAGGTAGCATAAGACTCCCCATACTTCTGCCAAAAAAAAATGGTATTATGGCTGGAATAACTGTGTAACTCCCAAGTTCTACCAGAGTTCCTACTACAGACAACCAAGGTTCATCCAGAAAGAACTGCAATGAACTCGCTTCATAGCAGGAGCTGAGACAGTCTGGATGTCCTGAAGCAGATCCTAAATTCACAACTTCACCTGAGAAAGGTCTGATACTTTACTAGTCATTCAAACAGTTCAGCTTCTGTTGTGGCTCAGGCTTGAACCCTTTGGCCAAGAGCCTGATGTTCCCAGAACTGCAGTTCTGCACCCTGGACAGGGGACTGAAGGACCCTCAAGGCAAGGAGTGAGCCTGCATTGGGTGTGTGAGCAAAAAGAAGGGTCTCTGCACTCGTGAAAGACTTCATGTGATTGTTAATAACCAAACAACTTCCTGCAACAATGAAGAAATGCACTTGACCATTTACAGCAAAACAGATTGATACAATAAAAACAAGTAACTTATGGCCTTGTCTACCTGCAAATGAACTCCTTCAGCAGGCACACACAATATATTGCTCAGTCATAAAAATATATATTATCTCTTTCCTTTAACATTTAGGTATATAAATATTTTACTGAAGAACATGCATCATTTAGATAAACAATGGCAAGAACATCCTCTGAAAAACATAGGGTTCTTTGACATTTAGCAGTATAAAACGAGTACATAAACAGCTATTAAAGTCAAGACAAACCAATACAGCAGGAAGCAGTTCTTGTGCTAGTCCAAAGCACCTTTTGCAACAGGTTATAATGATACATACACACAGAGAACACATTGGAAATGGAAACAGCATCATCCCATCTGCATATTCTTCAGTCTTGTTTGCACTCCAAACTTACTGTTCACTTTTCTGCTCTTGTTTTCCATTCAGCTCTTGGTCAACTCTGCTCAGCAAAGAAACACTAAAATTAAGACTTTGTTAACATAGTTTGGTAGCTCATATATTAAGAAAAAACTATTAGTCTTAAAAGGAAAACACAAAGTTTTCACATGGGAAAAGTTTTAGTAATTAAATATTAAATTAAGGGTTTTATTTAATGCAGTCACAACATTCTTGGGGGTTTTTAAAATATCTATTTTCCTACCTCCCCGTAGAAATTAATTAATTAATTAAAAAGAACTGTTAGGAAACCATTTAAATACTATAGCATTTGAGAGAAAACATTTAAAAAGTGCAAGTGAAGTTTGACTACAGAAGAAAAAAGCAGGTCCTGTGCTTTTATTAAAAAATGCAAACAGGAATACAAGCTTACAGGTAATACAATAATACTGGCAAGCACTACCACTTTGGGGAATTCCTATGCTGCAGAATAAGCACTGAATTACCTTCAGAGTTGTAGTAATTAAGCCAAGAAGGTAACAGGATTAGTTGAATCAACAAAAGCGAAGAGGCTCCTTAACTGCAATATTTTTTCTACTAAGTTTAAGACTTTTGGAATTACCCAGGAAAAATTCACCACCATGCTGATAAAGGTGGTTTTTACTTGGTGTTTTACTTTTTAACATCTGTCTTGTGACTAGCAAACAAAATGCTGCTCTGCAGGAACCAGTGGATGACTGACAGCCCTGCACAAAACATTATTTCCCTCTTTACAGTAAGAACAAGCTACAGTCTTAATTCAGTCTTCTATAAAGTAAGCTGCGCATGGAGGTAAATTAATTTTAAAACCAACAGCAGTTCCAAAGTGAGAGAGACAAAGAGTTTGCCCTCTAACAACTTGTCTAACCTGTCTCTCAAACTATTACCAGCCAGTTCTCCAAAATGACAGAAACATTGGCAGCTCCTTTAGGCCACGAACCCATAAAAAGGGGAGGCAAGCTTTCTGTTTGCTTGCCTTTTTTTCTCCCCTCCTCTTTCTTGCAGCTGTAAGGACTGAACCAAGTACATTGGGATCCAATAGGTCTGGAGCACTGAGGTCTGGAAGCAACAAGCCCAGCTGGAAAGCCAGTCAGGAGCACAGTGCAAAGGGTGCTCTGAGGCTGCAGCTCAGCCCTGACCTCCCTGCAGTGCCTCAGAAAAGCTCCCTTGCCTCTGCTATACAGTAAATAATGCTACAGCTGCTTTCAACCTGGGTGAAGACTTGGGATCAAATTCTGCCTGTGATCTCTTCTCTACATCTATTTTTCACTGAGGAACACCCTCCTTTGTACAAAAGCGATGGTAGTGCACGGGACACTAAAAAGTGCTTGTTGTACTGAGATTTTTAAAAGTTTCTGCATTACTGTTTGAATGTCTCTGGGTTGCACCCTGAATACATTGGGCCTTGCAACAGAATTGGGCCAAATTATGCACACTGGGGAAATAAAAATCAAGCAGAACTATTGTTTGACATTTACTGAAAGGGTTTCTTAAATTTGACAGGCTTAGTACTTCAGGTCACACACTGCAAAATTATCACTTCATTGGAATAATTCCTAAAGAATGTCCAACACATCACTAGGTTTACATTCTAGCTTTCAGAAAGAATTTAAATTACATTTATTTTAATTGCTTAGTATTCTTCTACCCAATTTAGACAATAAGCTTCCCTTAATAGTTATGCACACACAGAAAAAGTAATTAAAAAAGAAAACCAAAGTTAGTAGCAAAATCTTTCAATACAATTGTTAGTGGGTGAAAAAATAACATATCCATCAAAAAAATGTCATCAGCTGCTGGAATAGCTTGAATAGTTAGCAGGAGACTGAAAATTAACAAAATGGAAATCCAATGTTTATTAGCAAGGAACATAGGCACTGCAAATACAAACAGCACTAAAATACTTATTTAGATTGCAACTGTGCCAGTTAATAACTAAAAAGGTAGTGAATACCAAGAATACAAGATTCAATATTAGAACTTCTTACTGAGTTGCATCTCTGCTAATGCACAGACAGCTTAGAACCTAAATACAGCTCATCTTTAGGTATCATTCTCCTTAGAAACAGGGAAATTGGATTTAGCAGATTCATACAGAAACACTACTTTTGCCTCTTGAAGACTCAGTTGAGAACACATGTATCCCCTCAGAAGTGAGCATCTCACATTATAATGTAATAGAAACTATTCTCAAATCTCTGTCTGAACCCCCAGGGTGAGCTTCTGTAGATGATTTACTGCCTGCAAGTACAAGAGGGTTCCTTTCATGCATAAAAACTTGGGCACGAGTGCATGTTTATATTTACAAATGCTTATTCCTTTATGCAAGCCAATCAACTGGGAGTTAGTTGCAGTGCAAATTGTTTTATCTAGATGCAACCCTAATCAAAATATGAATATACCTTTTCTGTTTCTTTCTAAACTTTTCTTCTTCATACCTTGGTGAGGAAAAGTTTCATTTCAGTAAATATAACATATGAAGGCCAAAATCAACAGAAGCTGCAAACTAGTATTAGTGGTAATACAGTTTGTAGAAACTTATCAAGTGTTGAAACTGATATAATTAAGAAAAAATACATAGTGGTTCCAGCATTTATAAGCATTAAACAAAAACCATTTAATTATTATGACGTAACAAATGAGTTCAATGAGACCTCTTGCACATTATCAACATTCATCACTAAAATTTAAAGTCTGTATTCATAACAGTTTGGAGCCAGATATAATCCTCCAAATCTGACAATTAACTCTCTAAGTTAACCAAGTTCAGCTTCTGCAGACCAGTTAAAGGTTTATCAACACAGAAAGGAGTCTTTCAAGAGTTGGAATGACAGTCTGAATATTCATAACACATCCTTAAAAACACCCAGTAAAAAAAATTCTAGAGAGAGCACCAGGCTCCTTTAGCATTCTTTCATCCCCACCTCAGGAAAACAGTTCTCTCTATTTTAGAGTTCAACTGTGGAACTGATCCAGCTGAACGTTTCCTGCAATGCCCAGCTATTTGTGGGAGCACAAGGATTAGTCCAACATGGATGTGCCCCTCTGCCTGCACACACTGGGCCATGTCCTCCCGGTTTGTGATTGCCTCTGACAGTGCAGAACGTGCCATAGGTTTTGGATGTTATCCCCTCTGACAGGCTGAGCAGTTGGATGTTATCCCCTCTGACAGGCTGAGCAGTTGATCATCTGGTTTAAGACCCAAGTTTACGGTTTCTACTCTATTACTGCACCCACAACTGCCATTGACAAAAGCATCATCATCATTTTTGAGAGAAGAATTGTGCTGATGTTAAAATGGATATTTATATCTGGAGGGAAGGGAAAAAAATGACATTTTTGTCATGCTGCCATGACATTTTTGTCATTTTGTCATGCTGCCCTCACTTATTTATCAAAGTTGTTTAGAACTGTAATGGGTAGGGATTCAGCACTTTCCCACCACTGCTCTTCTTTTAAATGAAAGCCCAACCCAAGTGATATTTCAGCACTTAACTTGTTCCTCTGAAGAACACTGAAGGTATTATAAATAACTTCAGTACCAACATGCCCAGAATTTCTCACTCACAAGCCAGTTTAGCATATATATGAGGTGTAGAACAACTGCCTTGTCTCTAGAAGACTTAATTTGCACATCAGAACTCAGTGATCACACAAATATCACCCGAGGAACGTGATGCCTCCAGCTCCTCCACCCCCAGGTGAGGTCAGACATGGACCCTCCTACGGACAGCAGGGATCTGAGCTGAAGTTCCCAAGTGTTACAGTCAAACCAAACCCTGGTTACAACACACCCCAGCTCCAGCACATGGACAGTGAGAACAGGGAGAATAATAAAACGTACTGTTTTATGCACTCTGGGATGCCAACGTACTCCATGGGGATGAGCTCAGCTAGTTCTGCCAGGGTAAAGACATACCTAATTTTTTGGCTGAATTTTGAGCTGTGGAAGAACAAATGCAGGGTATACAGTTACAACTTAAACATTTTCAACTAGGCCAGTATTAAAACAGTCATTCAAGTTCAAAGTAAACAGCTGTCAGGATTACTTAAAAACAGAAAAAGCTTCCAGAGCATTACCTAATAAAAGGTTTTGTGATGGCCAGGAGTGTTCTGATGAACCAAGAAGGATGAACTATAATCAGTGATTTCAGATTTTTTCTTAACCTGAAGAATTTAAACAATGAAAGTAATTACTAGAAGAAAAAAGCAGCTTGACAACAAGGGGTTTTTGAATATAAAAACAAGTGTGTTTTTGCAAGCCCACCTGTCACATAAACCTAGAATTCTGACATTCCATTATTAGAAACCAACATCTGGCAGAAGAAAAAATACTATAAAAATTTAAGACACAGTATCCATTTAACGAGAATGACAAGGAAAAACACTCCAAGGAGAAGTTTCTTTGAATCTTTTTACACAACTGAAGTGGTTCACACGTTATTAACCTTATATTAATACATTAAGTTTTAACTATATTTTACAAGATAACAATATTTAATATTCTAAGACTACTGTTTTCACCTAAAAAAACCCCTCAACCCTACAAGTAACAACAATAATGAAACAAACACAAAAAAACACACACAAAAAAATCCAAACACCACACAGCACCCCCCAGGCATGTCTGGAGCATTATCCCACAGTGTCCAGCTTAGGAAGGGGTTTTCAACAGGCCAAGCAATTTCCTTAATCGAATCTTAACCAAAGGGACCAGACACCACATTGAACAGCACTTCATCCCAAATATGTCTATCACTGAGCATGTGAATATTATAAGAAAACACTGCAGAGTTTCTTACCTTCTGTCAATCTGCTGGTAACACTTCCTGAGCCAGCCTAGACTGGGCATTTTCCTCCGTGTGGTTGCACCGTTCAGGTAAACTATCATATAGTTCTCAGCTACCAACAGCTCTAAAGTGCCAATTACATACCTGCACAGACAGAAAACTTTACTGTCCACAGCCTTCACTTGAAAGTAACTCCTAATAATTCCTATGCTCAAATATATTAAAAATAACGAAAAAACAGAGTTGGCAACACTGTTGAACATCATCTAATTCATTTCTTTCCTCCCCCAGGAAGCAGATGTAGTTGCTTTTCTATTTGCTCCCTTTCCCTCATCTGAAATATAGAAAGCTTTATTTAAAAGAGAGAGAAGTAACTGTCCTTATATTAGAATGCTATGTTTCACAATGTGGAATTAAGACAGTATTCAGAGGCAGATGATGACTCACTTAAATAGATTGTCCATCAGGTATCTGTAGTTAGGCTGGCTGCTTTCAGGCATAAAGCAAACAGCAAACACAACAATGGCATTTAACCCATCACCATAATAACCTAAAACCAAAGAAAAGAGCAACAGTAGTGACAAAGATGACTACTATTGACTACATTTACACAAAGTCAAGCACATTCAGTAAGCTTTTTCATTATTTACCTTAAAGAGATTTACAAACATCTACATGGACAGATTCTTACAGTTACAGAAAACCTCAAGATTTCTTTTTTGTCTACTTCTAAAGCAATAGCTGAAGTCAATCAAATGCTATACCTACAACCAACATCTCAGCATATTTAATAACATGTTATTTAAAGTTAAGTCAACTTTTCTTCCAACCTAAACTTCACAGGCTGTTGGGAAGTCATGAATTGATTTTGGCCTTAGTAGATCTACAGTTAGTGCTTTCAACATACTTAAAACCAAAAAAAAATGTACTGGTAGCAGTGACACTGTAGAACAGATTGAATACATCTTATTACATATGTGCACTTTAGTACATGTGAACATTTTGGAACTTTAGTTTAATAGAGAAAAAAATTATTAAATCAGCAGTGTCTTAACACTGCAAAAAATGAACCATCACAAGCCATTATGCACAAAGCTCTCCCTGTGCCACCCCAGCTCAGCCTACAGAAGCAGCTGCTCAGCAGTTCCCCTCCCCACATGGCCAATCCTTACCCCCATGACTGATAACTTTTTTATAGGGTTCAATTGCCTTCATGTCCACCCTGTGGTCCTGCTCTCCGATCCGGAACATCCGCCAGCGCCGCCCATCGTCCTTCTCCTCTGCCTCAGTGTACTCAGTGAGGGAGCCCTTCCTAATCACATCAGTAGTTTTTGGTTTGGGAAGATCATCTGCCAAAGGTAAAACACGTTCAAGATCCATTATGAACACCATTACACTGCCAATCAGGTACAGCACTGGTTAACCACTTTGCTGTCTGATCTATTTTGGTGTTCTTTAGCCAGTCACACAGACCAGCTGGTGTCAGGGATATTTTACCAACATACTCGTGTTGGCAGTAATTTTCTGTGTTAAAAGTATATGAAAAATTTCCATTCGTGTAGGAAGCCTAATTAATTGTAGGCTTTCAGAACACAGACCTCAGTGAATGTCACCAAATCAGACAAAGTGGTTAACTCCAATGAGAATTACAGAGGTTGCTTGATCACAGATTTACATACAAGCATGATTAAAAACATTGATGGTACCTTGCAAGCAGACATGCAGGCAAATCTATTAGAAATTAAATCTAATTCACATGTGTGTAATCAATATATATGAAATTTATGTGACAGCAATCTGTAAGACAATTTGCACCAATTCAATGATGATTCTTGACTTTGTTGCACAGACCTTACCCAAAGCGAGAAAAACCTACTGCAAGTTAGTTGTCTGTTTCCAAGACAAAGCTGTTAATTGAAACTATCCTTCCAGGAAAATGAAGGCAGCAGCATTAAAGGAAGAAAAGACAGAAACCCTTTTCAGCCACTTTTAAAAACAAGACACAAGCATCTGGAACAGTTCCTTCACATCACAGCAAAACTACCCCTAAATACCAATTCTTCTTAAAACAAGGAAAATCCTTTTATCCAGGTAAACACCCAGTCTCTGTTAAGAAAACTTCACCTGCAACATGTCTTTAGCTATTCCAAAAAACAAAACCACCCCCTTATCCTAAAGAGTGTTTCTTTCTCCACAGGTATTGTTTCAAACATAACAATGAGAACAGAACTTCCTGTTCAGTCAGGAATTAACATTATTTTATTTTCAGAATAAAAAAATAATAATTGAGTTTACATGTTTACTTAGAGACATTTTTAAGCCATGAAGTTTACAGATGTTAGAGACTTCAACACACTGACCAACACAACAGTTCTTGGTTTACATAAAAGGGCCTTAAAACATAATTAAACTCTAAGTTTAAACTTAATGCTTCAACTTCTACACAAAATGTTTGCCTCAAATAAAATTTGTTAGAATCTCCAAGTTTTGCCTATAAGAGTAGGATAAAGCATCTATTCATTTCTTAAAATTAAGATCATTACTACTGTGGCTCCAGCTAAGTTAACTTCCTATCAAGTAATTTCAGAATTCCTTGTCACAAAATTGAGGCTCTTCTACTAGCAAGCAAACCCTAAGGCTTTTGCCATTCTTACCACAGGAAGGTATGAGACAGGTGTTACTCAGTGTTTTCAAAAATACCACTCAGTCCTCCTTAAATTGCACTTCATCAGTTCCTGGACAGCCAACCTCTATCCCTTTGGATGTTCCCTCCATTTAAACTCACCTCTAACACATGGAAAACACCTTTGAGACTTTTTTCGACAGGGTGGCTTTTAAAAATATACTGCAACAGAGAGGATTTTCCATAACTTCAAGTCTCATAGATCTATATATAGATGACAGACAGATGTATATATAGATACTATTCAGCTAAGTTTACTTGGAGTTACAGCTATTATTATGTTGCTTGTTTACTAATCAGATGAGGCCTTTTGCTCTTTAAAAATTCATTGCACCCATTTTCAATTTCTAATCTAATCACTCCCTTTACGTTTTTCCTCTTGTAACTTCAAGTCAGTTATTTCTTACTTGAAAAACTGCTGACCTGCACATAAGAAAATAGAAATATTTTAGAGCATCTGAGCAAAGGACCAAAATACTTACCTTCCCATTCAAATTCATTACTGTTTTCTGAAGGAGTATCTAAATCATCCAAATCAATCTCTCCACTCTCATCCAAGTCATCAGACAAAGCAGGTTGCTCGCTGGGATCCAAATTTAAGCTGATATCTGGAGCCACTAGTTTCTTCCTCACTTTGGTTCCATTAACCTCTGCATCTAAAAAAAGCAAATTGTTTATTCCCAAAGCTAAATGAGTTCAGACAAGCAAATTAATAACACACAACAGCACCATCCTCTTTCATAAGAGATTGTATGCTAATGCCAATAATTCAAACAATGTATCTGTGGATTAAGACTTTAATATGGGATGAAAAGAACAGAAGGTAAAAGATCTCAAGTTGTAAGATAGTAAGTTTACCCAGTTGTTGCAGATATTATACCAAATAAATCCTGCAAATAATACAATAGATTCATGTCCCTACCCTTGTTTTTGTTAGACATCAGTAACATCATAACCACCTCTGATGAAATAAAAAATAACATACAAGTTGAAAAAAAACCCTGACAGACAACAGTGAGAACAGAAAGTCAAATAACCTGTTTGTGAAAACACAGAATGCTTTCAGGCACAAGGCAAATGCTGGTGTGATTTAGACAGCAATTGAAAGCAGGGAATAACATCAAATTACTGATCCTGCACTAGAAATGCCACAAGTACTGCACACAGACAAAATCCAAAAAAATTTAAAATGTAAAAAAAAGCCATTTATATTATTTCCCCTCTGACCATTGAAACAGGCAATGCTCCTATATAGCCACAAAGGTCTGAAATTGGGAGCAAAACCAAGGTAGGCCCCAATTGCTGAACAGAAGTCAAATAATGAACAAAGATTTTAAGACAGATCAGGAAGTGAATGCAATAATTCCTTGTTGTCCAGCATTACCTGGATAGCTCTGCTCACAGAGAGCATGAAGACTCTCGTATTTTTGTTCCAAAACCCTTTTCTTTCTAGATCAGATATTTATAATACCCTTCACATACAGAAGTGCCATTTACAATGCTATTTCCTCAAGCCTGACTCAAAAGAGAGCAAAAAGTCCAACCCAAAGAAACCAACCCAAGAAACCCCCCACATCGAAAACTCCCCTGAAGCAAAATGGAGCTTTAAAACAGCAGCTAAGTAGGAAGCAGCTTGACTGGAGTGGAATGTTCTTACCAGCCTGGCTTTCTGTTCCAGCTGCAGCCAATGTTTCAGATTCAACAGGATCATCCTCTGGCAGGGGCCTGGGACACAAAGTAGAAAGTATTGTTACAAAACTTCTTTACATATTTTTTTAATGCCAAATATTTAGACTTACATACTGCTAAAAAAACCACTGTGGGATAGTACTGAACTAAATTTACTTCTAGCCTAAGTTCAAGTTCTCAGTAAACAAAGCACCAAAGTAGCAGAAAATTCCTTTACAGCACTCAAGGGACCATCTGGTGATGTGACAGAACACTGATTACTACCAGTGTGTCATCCCTGCTTGACAAACTTCGACATCAGTACATGACAGGAGTAGTTTAGTCACATGATCACAGAAATGCCTCCAAAGTCAGCTGATGCAGTTTCTTTGTGGGCCCAAGCATCAGAAGCAGCCTTAACTGGTACAGACTTTGCTCAGGAATGTTGCTCAATGAAATATTTGGGCCTTGAGACACTGGTAATAATATGCAAACAATGTAGCTGCAAAATATTATCACAGAAAATAAACAAAGCCAAGCTTACAAATGTTCACTTCAGCAACACTGGAAGCATCAGCAGTGGCAATCCTGCATTACTTCACTTCCACAGAACACGAAGCAAGCCCCTTCCAGATCACAAAGAAACACACCACAAAACCTTTTCAAGACTACTGTATTAATATCTATTAAATATATACTATTAATATATAATAATACTACATTCAAGATCATTACTGAGTATTAGTTCACCAGGAAGACAGAGAGGTGGCTTATTGTGGATGTTGTGTGTTTGATCTGAATGACTTTAAAACAAAATTCAAAACCTTGGAAAATCTTCATCTTGCCATTCTTCCTTAAACTCAACACCTTCCATTCTCCAGCCAACTTGAACTGCTAACAGAGACTCCTGGTCAGCCAGAACCTCTTGTCTTCAGGACAAGGGGCTAAAGAGGAGCTGCAGGAACATAACAGAAAATGCTGCTTCAATACTACTGCAATTCCCATACTGGCAACATATCCTTTAACTTATCCCCAGGTTGAGGTATTATGCAGAATAGAAACCAAAACAGCACAGGGAAGAGTTTATAATTTCCATTTTACTTTTTTTCCCCTACAAAACTGCTTATGGAATGGCTTATCATACAGTAATGGAGGTTGGAAGGGATTTCCTGTAATCAAGCAGGATTAACCTCTCAGTTAAAATCCAACCCTTGAGCAACCTGATTTATCATTTATGATTATAGCAGTTCACTCCAAAATGTAAGAAACCTGACATGTCTCTAGATTCTATAGGAGATAACAAATAAGTGTATATTTTGAGGGAAAAAAATCCACACAGTCAGATCTAAAATACAACCCATTTAAAAATTAAAACAAAAACCAACCAACCCAAACACTTAAAATATAACTGTTTAAGAGGCTGCTTTCAGAGAACTCACCCTGGGATGTGCAAGGGAAGCTGTGTTTTTTCAGGTTCACCCATCACCAGCAACAAGGAATCCCCAGTAATGGAACATGATAAACCATTCTGCTGACATACAAGTCCAAACCAGCTGAAGTTCTTGGCTGTGTTGGCTCTAAATATTGGCAGAAACAGGTAAACTTATCAATGATGAAACACTGATCAAAACAAGAAACAATGGTACTTTTAAATGCAAAGGAGCAATCAACATAGAACACCAGTAAGTACAAAGTTCAAATGCAACAACACTGCCAATTATCTCAGAGATATGGGGGTTTTACATAGCTAAAAAGAAACAAATTACACTTATTGTTCTGTAGGATCATCTTTCCTTTCACAACAAATCCAAATGTCTCTTCTCCTGACCTGATTCCAACCACAGACTGATCTTAAAACATCCTGCAATGCTTAGAGCTACACCACATAAGTTGATTAATAAAGAAAAATTAAAAGACTGATCTTTTTATAAAACTGCAGTACTATAGACAAAATAAACACTAATGACCTCAGTTTAAACCTGTTACTGACATCTCCCCGCTTCCCTCACTCAGAAAACTGAAACTAAATTTCTAGAAGGCAGCAATTGATGCCTTAAGACCTTTTTAGTTTATTTTTCTAATTTTGTAAGCTTTATAAGTTTTGTAAGAAGTAGAAGCAGCAGCCCTTGTTCCCTACCCTGTAGCACAAGTAGTTTACACATTCCTCAACCCTCTTACCCCATTCCATGCTCCCCATATCAAATCTACCCCTGAATTCAGTAGAAATGTTTAGTCTTTTGTCAAGGCAAGGCCTATACTGTTCAGAGAACACTCATATCTTGGCCTGAACAACAGAACAGAGTCAAGAACTGGGTGACCGTGTACCCTTTGTGCTCTGAGGATGGTGAGAATGATGAAGAGGTGGTCCCAAAAGCCCCCAGACCCAATTCCCAGGGGGTGGGCTAAGGGGTGGACCAGAGCAAAGGCAACAGGATGGATAAAACTTGGATTGGTCAAGCAGTGTTATAAAATGTAACATCTCAGGCACAGCCTTGGCACAAATTAAACTCTTTCCTTATCTCACCCTCAATTAACTGCTCCTGAGGTTTTTTTTCCTTAGCATAAGCTGCACAGGCATCACAACCTAGTTCCTCTGAAGGGTCAGACTCCTTGTTTGAATCATTCAGCACCTGAACCTCTGAGTTGCTGCACACAACCTTCAAGAAGCTGCCCCTGGCAATTGTCCCTCTTTCTGTTTGTCCTTTCTGACTAAGACCCTGTTTGGAGCAGTTTCTTGCTGCTTGAATGATGGGCCTGTGCTCCTGAAACAAGTCCTGCCTGTCCCCGAGGTGATGACACCCAGCACAGCAGGCACGGGTGTGTCAGTGCTGCCCTGCCACTGCACCAGGGACTGGAAACGTGTGCTGGGAGAGGAGACCCCGCTGTGCTCAGCACTGCCAGGGAATCTGGGCAGCTCTCTCTGCAGTGTGGGGACACGGGGATGGAGCACAGGGAGTGCCACCAGGGACCCTACACAGTCAGGACACAGTGGCTACACCAGGATGGAACGAACCACCTGACGTAAACACCCAGCTGATTATAACCCCGAAAGAAAACCTGACCTGCTGACTCCCCTCTTGGGGGACAGATGGAGAAATTAAGAAAACTGACAGGAAAAATACCCAAACACCCCCCCAACCAACCCCATCACCGTGCTGGTGGCTGTAAGATGCTCCTCCTGAGCTCACCTGCACTGCACTCACAGCACAGTTCCCTTACAGTTTAAAGTCGGGTTTTCCTCCAAGACTCTCAGTTTTCTCACCACACTTTTGAAAAAACACCAAACATGAAGTAACCCTATTAATTGCAAAGGTACAATATTTCAGTGCAGAAGCAATTCCTACCTGCTTGTATTTCATTGCACTGAGATAAACTTATCATGCTGTTATCAAAGTTTAAGATACTTTTACAAAACACTCCCCACATTACTTGCAGAATTCTTGCCAGCAGCTTCTTATTAAGGTGGATCAGAAAGCAATCATTTGCTAAATACCACACAGGACAACTGAAAACGACTTACAAGGCAACCTCTGAGTTCAACATCAGATAAGTGACTTTAGGTTTTCAGCATCCTACTTAACATGCTGACAGTAGTTGTTTCAGATGTTTTTACTTCAAGTCTCATATATAAAAGCACTATCATTTGTCAACTAGAAGAATGAGAAATTAAGGAGGAAGGGTAATCTTCTCAAGAAAGTTAGAAAAGTGATGACTAAAGTAATTTTACATCAATTAATATAAATGCTTACAAGCAGGGGAAAAAAAATTCTGCATATACAAACTAAAGCTGAATTTAGAATAGTCTTCCTACCAGTGCTGTGGCAGTGCTGACATCTGTTTTTAACAAGCCAAAGTCTTTTTAATTCAGCTGTAAAACTAAAATCTAAAAACTTCATTTGAAAAATGTCTTATATTGTAATAATGCAAGTATTTATCAGTCATACAGAAAAGCAATTAATTTCTACCTGATCCAGGCTCTCTCCATGGTCAACTCAAAGACTCGTGCTTTCTGAGAACAGCAAACCTGACCTTACTCTCCATTGCTCATTACTTTCTATTTTGCTTAAAGAAATGGAACTGGAAGACTGGAAGTTATCTAAAGGTCAGAAACTTCAACACATCAAAGCCCATCTGGATGCAGGGTTGCCAAGTGGTTCTGCCCTCTTACTGGAGCCACTTTGGTGCTCAACAATGCCTTTCGTTCTTTTAAGTATCCCAACAGGCAAGTTGTGATATTACAAAAAGAATTACCACAAGGAACACATCACTCAAAGCCACCCCTCCTTCCCTGCAGCTAATGAACACATTTCCATTCCAGAACAGTGGGTTAAACCCACTGTAGTTTGCATCTGAAGAACAACACTGCTTGCACCAGAGGTCAAACAACGCTGTTTTCATCCTTTTTCCTAGAAGAATAGATAATTTTCAGAGTTCTCTCATTAATGCCAAGCTGCCTTAGCTGGTAGGTACTGGAATATCAAGTAAAATAGTCTTAAGAAGCCTATTAAAAGTTGCCAGTTTTTAAAATTTACTGTACAGCTAAACAGGGACTCTAGTCTGTCCCGAATATTTAATAAAAGGGGAGAGGGAGAATGACAATAGAAAGCTTAAGATCACTTTATTAATGAAGTTAAAGACTCCTTGCAAAAATTAAATAGGTTTTCCCCTCTAAGTTCACAGGCAAACACACAACTAAACAGGAGTTCCATGGTCCCATCTGCCCATCCAACACACAGACCCACAGTCAGTCCTCCCTCAGCACCTCTGCATCTGAAGTACAACAGATACAAAATTTGTCTTTGCAAGGCCATTGCAATGACAAGCACAGACTGAATGATGCATTTGATGGGTCAAGAACAGAAAGCTGCCTGCACCTGAAAAAGTCAAAATCAACTTCAACAAAGGTTAGCCTACTTTTCCCACACACACTTCACCTCATTGTGTCAACAGCAACATTATCTGCTAATTCCAGGTTCCAGGCACTAAAGAGGTGCCTCTAAAAGTAATTTTCCCATTTGATTTTATAGCAAGCCAAAAGCAAGGAACAGACACATCTCCTGGTGCACAAACCCACGTGATGGAGCTCACGGCAATTTCTAAATGTTTTTATAATTCCAATGGTTTTCAGAACGTGACCATGAACCCAAGACATCTTTCCCAGACCTAAGACAGACATTCAGACTTTATCCGTTGCAAGTTTGCATCAGATAACACAAGGGCTTTCATTAAAAACATGTCATTCTTTGCCTCCTTTTTACTCCTTTCCCTCAGCATTGAAGCACAGAGAAATCAGGCAGCTAAAAGAGAAAACCTCTGAAAATACTCCTGCTTTCCTCTCCGACACTGCTCTGAAATCCAAACAGGAACAGAGGGATCTGCATTTCTGTGCCACTCAGACTCAGTTACATGTAAACACTGACTTGTGTCACAAAGAATTTACAGCCTGCCTAAATACAACTAATATTCCTCTGCAGGACTTAAACATGCACACGAGTCACCTAGAAACAAGCAACTACTATTTATCGCATTGCGTTAATAGCAGGAAACAAAGAGGGACTAAGACAAAAGGCACTCCAAAGCAACCCTTTGACTTCCGCGCCCCGGTTCTGCGCCCGTCCGGGCAGGGATATCCCGGGGCAGGGGGGATTTCCAGCTAGGATTCAGTGCTCACAGCTCTCCCCGTGCCAGGCACGGCGGGGCCGCGGGGCCCTGTCCGTCCCCGGGGTCCCTGCCCGCCCCTCTCGCCCGTCACCGTCAGCGCCGCCCGGTCCGGCCCCGGCCGAGCCCCCTGCGCACCTGCGGCCGGGCCGCGGCCCGAGGCTCCCGGCGGGCTGCTCCCGCCCCCCGCGGCCGTACCTGTGGGGAGAGCGCGGGGCAGGGACGGCAGGGACGGCAGGGAGGGCAGGGACGGCAGGGACGGCACGGGCCGGGGCACGGACGGCACAGGCCGGGCCAGGCCCGCGCTCACCCGGAAGCGCATCCGCCGCCCCGTCACGTGACGGTTGGACACTCGCGCGCACGCGTAAACCCGCGCGCTCTGTGGGGGCGGGGCCGGCGCCAGCAGGGAAGGATGACACGGAGTGGGATCGCTGAGCTGGAAGGGATCCGGCGGGATCATCCAGTCCTGCTCTTGGCCCTGCACGAAGCCATCCCGAACAACCCCACCCTGTCCTTGAGAGCGTTGTCCGAACCCTCCTGAAGCTCTGGCTGCCTTGGTGCTGTGCCCACTGCCCTGGGGAGCCCGTTCAGTGCCTGACCACCCTCTGGGGAAAGAACATTTTCCTGAGATCCAGCCCAAATCTCCCCTGACACCACTCCAGCCATTCCCTGGGTGCTGTCCCTGGTCCCCACAGAGCAGAGCTCAGTGCCTGCCCCTCCTCTGCCCCTCACGAGGATGTTGCAGACCGCGGCGAGGTCTCCCCTCAGCCTCCTCCAGGCTGAACGCACCAAGTGCCCCCGGCCAGTCCTCCCATGGCTGAGGGACGGCTCAGGGACGGCTCCCCCCATGGCTGAGGGACGGCTCAGGGACGGCTCCCCCCATGGCTGAGGGACGGCTCAGGGACGGCTCCCCCCGTGGCTGAGGGACGGCTCAGGGACGGCTCAGGGACGGCTCAGGGATGGCTCAGGGATGGCTCAGGGATGGCTGCCCCCGTGGCTCACGGATGGCTCAGAGATGGCTCTCGCCCCCCCGACCCCGGGGCCGAGGCGCTGCCCCCCGCGGGATCGCGGGGCGGGCGGGCCCCGCCCCGGGCAGCCCTCGGCCGGAGGTGATTAACCCTAATTAGCTGCTGCCCCTGGGCATCGGCACCGCCCTGCCCGCTGCCCGCCCGGCCGCTTGTCGTAGGAGAGTTACCCGAGAGACCGAGCCCGGGATACAGAAGGGGAAATAGGCAGTCCCGTCGCTGAGCTCCGTGTGTTAGACAGTGCTGTGCCTGAACTTGAGTGGGGGACGTGTGAGAGCAGTGTCGGAAAGAGGAGTGGAACCTTCTCCATGAGACTCACAGAATGGTTTGGGGTGGAAGGGGACCATGAAGATCATCCAGTGCCAGCCCCTGCCATGGGCAAGGCCACCTTCCACTAGCCCCGGTTGTTCCAAGCCCTGTCCAACCTGGCCTTGGACACTTCCAGGGACCCAGGGGCAGCCACAGCTTCTCTGGGCAACCTGTGCCAGGGCCTCCCCACCCTCACAGGGGAGAATTTTTTCCTAGTATGTAATCTAAACCTATTCTCAGTTTGAACCCATTCCCCTTGTCCTGTCACTAAATGCTCTTGTGGCTAGTTTTGCCCCATCTTTCCCATAAGTTCCCTTCAGGTACTGGATAGATAATGTCAGTATTACAAACCAGTGAGGCACTGCTTACAGAGCTATGGAGCAAAGGCCCTGAATCTCCACGTCATTTGCCACTACAACTTAAGCTGTATAAATATGGCATCCAAAATACAGACCTTGTTCATCACATATGCACAGTAGAAGCTCAGGACATTACACAAATCTATTTTAAAAAATGTTTTTCACATACTTCAGAATGCTAATGGTAGTTACTTACCATTATGGAGGAGGAGATAAGGATGGAAGTAAGGCTTTGCTAAGGTTTAGAACCTACCACTAACATACTGTTATAATATACAGGCAGCTACTGATTAAATTACAGCCGACCTACTGCCTGATAGCTACAATAACAATAGCAAATTTTTTTTATTGTAGGGTGCTGAAGGAACTTGCAATGAATGTGACAGATGTGGAGAAGTGTGGAAACAATTAAGAAGTAGCATAAAGGTGCAGAAAAAGCATGGAGGAAAACATGAGAAAGAAAAATAACACTAAAGAAGAAAAGAAAGCACAGGTACCACCAACCAGCAAAGATAAAATCTACAAATAACAGGAAAAAAAGCACAAGTATTAAGGTAAATTAATTAGAGCATTGAAACTATATTCAGAAAGAACTAGTATCATGCACAGCAAATGGCCTGAGGCCTGTATACATTATCATATAAAAGTTACAAATGTAAAGCAAGAACTGCTTAAGTATAAAGAAAGAGTATGTAACCACTGGTAGGGAGAAATACAGTAAAGCAACAAAAAGGAAAAAATGTATCCTGCCACCTTTGTTTGTCACTGGTGTTTGTTTGTGGAGGTAAGGATGCAAGAAGATGACCAAATGCTCTATGCTTAAGGATGTGATTTTTTTCTGGCTGCTCCCAGCTGCACACCAAACCTGTGACTAGTGCTCCTACTTTGGAACTTCCTGTGTCTGTAACAGCCCAGCTTTTAATAGTGGAGGTGTGGTTATGAGGCTCTTGTGATCTGTTTGTGAGGTACTTGCCCAGATATTGAGGACTGAATGGCAAGAGAGCTCAGCCTGTTGTCAGAGGATCTGTGACAGTTGGAACTATTCCAGAATGAGCTGGGCCTGGCTGAGCTGTAAAGATCGAGGGTGTCTGTGATTCCTGGAGGGGCACAGCGCACCTCAGAGAAGAAAAGTTCCCTTCCAGGGGCCACTCGGTTAACAAGGATCAAAACTTACCCGAACACCCCTTGTTTTATCAGCAAACATAAGTTTGCCAGTTGTCAGAGTACAGATTTTGAATCAGTACTGTTCTTTTCTGGTATAGATAAAGTAGAAAATGAGATTGATTTCTGTAGAGAATAATTTTATTACCCAACAGATAATTTTCCTTGTCTTTCAACAGAGCAGTCATAAGTATTGGACCACCATGACTTACAAAGTCGAGGCTGAAAGTTTTCCAGTAAATTAACATTTTAATAAAAATTAAATGTCATATTAAGTACTTCTAATGCTTTTCTAAATGTGCTTCAGTTGCTGATAAAACTGTATTTAAATGCACAAATGTCGTCTGCAGGACTCCAACGCCCAGCTCGTCCACAATGCTCAGCAAATTGTGCAATTCGCCATCTCTGACACGGGGTGGCACAACATAGCTGGGAATCCATCGAGTGCGAAATGGAATCCAGAGCACACGCGAACAAGAGGTCAGAGCCAACTACGAGGGAATGTTGAATAATTCTATTTCTAAACATCAGACAATTGCAAATATAAGCATTTTCTGACACGAAAACTTTACTAAAGAGAACAGGCTTGAAGGAATAATGCTCTATTGCATGAATTTGTCCTGTACATGGTAGGAATAAACTGTTACACGATTTTGGGGCATCACATATTTCACAATTAACCTTTAAATAGAAATTAGTCATCAAAAGCAACAGAATACAAAACATTCGTCTTTTTAATAGTCCTTTCACATTTTACATATTAGAAAAATATTTTCTAGTAATCTAAAAAAACCCCACCACCTAGATGAAAAGTGCCCCCCTTTCAAGTGGTTCAAGCAACAGCTCAGAAATGTTGGAATTTGAAAACATGAATTTGAATGTCTGTCTCTGTGGGGTTGCATGTACAGACTGCATTTGTACACAATTCCTTCTTGCTATTTTCCCTATGCAGGAAGTTCAAATACTGTTGTGGGATTTTTTTCCCCCCAACTTTATTTTGCCCTTTTTTGATGGTAAGGGCTTTGGGCTATGGTTTTGTAGCCCACACAAATAATTTGGCTCCTGTCTTAGACACCTGTGATATGAAATTACAAGATCAGCACATCCTGGAGCAGCAGCTTTCAGATCTGTGGGCAGGAAGTGTTTAATATTTTGCTTCACTTCTGCTATTCCTATCACCACTTCTGGAAAGCCATTCTATTGGAATCAGCTGTCCCACTGCAGTAGGTGGATTTCATGGTCTTGGTATATCATGAGGGATTATTGATCCTATAGTGACCCTCCTCACATTCTTTCTGTGTCTCTGTGTCCCCTCTCCCAGCTCCCCCTGAGCTACTTCAGATCCACCCCACGATGCTGCAGTGGACTAGTTCTTCAGCAGACTTGCACTTCACATCTCCTGACACCCCCACCCCCATGTTTTGTCTTTTTCTATCTCTGAACAAATCCCTGGCTTTTGAAAAGAAGCCAAGGTCTAAACCAGGTCTCAGTGAAGAACTTGTGTTTGGAATTCAGCTGGAAGAGTACAACAAATAGAGAGAGTGCACATCTTTCTAAGAGTCAACCCAAAACCCAGACCTTGGCCATTTCAGGGGCAGAGCTGTTACCCACACACAAATGAGAACCTGTTCATCCTCTGTGGGTATGATTTCAGGGGTGTTTATATATTTTTCTCTAGCAGAGAACAGTTTGTTGGCTACAAACAGCCATACTGGTACGAGAGAAAGCAAGAGCCAGCTTAGCAGCCAGGAGAATCCTTCTGTCTGTATTGGTGGGGGGACGTGTTATGATTATTTAGTTTATAGAATCTATTTATGTTCTTCATTACTCTTTAAATAAGATTTCTGTATCTGCAAGTGAAAGGTACTAAATGCATTGCTATTAATACCATATTTGCTAATTTCTATGCCCTCAAGAAAAGTGGATATTAATTTCACTTCAGCTGAAAACTGAGGGACCTATTAACTGTGGGAATAATGTGGAAAAATAACAGCAATAGGAGATCTCTTGCATTTGCCTCTTCCAGATAAGGACTGTGAGACAATCCCAATACACCAATAGCACTGCAGACAAACGTGTGGTTGTGTACTGTTAACTCACAGTCCTTAATTTGTACTGGCAGGTCTGCCTGTGTCAGAAAAAGGAGGCAGTTACACATAGGCACACATAACTTTTGTTTTCTGAGGTTATTTTCTGCATAGTTATTTTTGACATGGTAAACATTCTTATCTTTCTGTGCCTTGTAAAAAAGGTCTGATCTTTGCCATTTGCAGTATCAGATTAATGTCTACAAAAATGCTGTGTTA